CATGAGAGGAGGTGAGCTCAGGGTCTTCCTACTCTGCCATATTTTTTACGTCCTTTCCCCATGTGCTTTGTAACTTGCTCCCTCTCTCTGTGTGCATGTGTGTGCATGCATGATGTATATATGCAGATATATACATATGTTGATTTTTTCTTTTCACAGAGCATTTGAAAGTAAGGTGTTTATGTCATGTGCTTTACTCCTAATTGCCTAGTTCCTAAAAATAGGGATACTCTTATATATAACCACAGCACAATTATCAAGTCAGTAAATCTTTTCAGTTCAGTTCAGTCGCTCAGTCATGTCCGACTCTTTGCGAGCCCATGAACTGCAGCACGCCAGGCGTCCCTGTCTATCACCAACTCCCAGAGTTTACTCGAACTCATGTTCATTGAGTCGGTGATGCCATCCAACCATCTCATCCTCTGTCGTCCCCTTCTCCTCTCACCTTCAATCTTTCCCAGCATCAGGGTCTTTTCAAATGAGTCAGCTTTTCGCATCAGGTGGCCAAAGTATTGGAGATTCAGCTTTAACATCATTCCAGTGAACATTCGGGACAAATTTCCTTTAGGATGGACTGGTTGGATCTCCTTGCAGTCCAAGGGACTCTCAAGAGTCTTCTCCAACACCACAATTCAAAAGCATCCATTCTTTGGCACTCAGCTGTCTTTATAGTCCAACTCTCACATCCATACATGACTACTGGAAAAACCATAGCCTCCACTAGATGGACCTTTGTTGGCAAAGTAATGTCTCTGCTTTTTAGTATGCTATCTACGTTGATCATAACTTTTCTTCCAAGGAGTAAGCATCTTTTTATTTCATGGCTGCAGTCACCATCTGCAGTGATTTTGGAGCCCCCCAAAATTAAGTCTGCCACTGTTTCCACTGTTTCTCCATCTATTTGCCATGAAGTGATGGGACTGGATGCCATGATCTTTGTTTTCTGAATGTTGAGCTTTAAGCCAACTTTTTCACTTTCCCCTTTCACTTTCATCAAGAGGCTCTTTAGTTCTTCACTTTCTGCCATAAGGGTGGTGTCATCCGCATATCTGACGTTATTGATTTCTCCTGGCAATCTTGATTCCAGCCTGTGCTTCATCCAGCCCAACATTTCTCATGATGTATTCTGCATATAAATTAAATAAGCATGGTGACAGTATACAACCTTCACATTGGTAGAATCCTTTTCTGGATGTGTTGTCCACATTTCAGTTTTGTCCACTAATCCATTCATTTCTTTTATAATTTTTTCTCCATTTATTATAGGATGCAGTCTGTGATCTGATATTACATTTAGTTGTCATGGTTCTACTATTGTCTTTAATCTTTGATTTTTCTAGCCTTTGTCTCTTAGGACATTGGCACTTTTTTAACATGACATTCTTACCTTCCCACTCCCTGGGTTTTATTTTTAATAGAATGTTTCTCATTTTGGATTTGTCTGTTTTTCATGAATAGTTTTAGATGGCATATTCCTAGCTGGAATATTATAAAGTGATACATCTTCTAGGGGTATCATATCTGGTGGTGTACGCTGTCCATCTGTCCCTCATTGGTGATGTTAATTTTGATTACCCGAGATGATGTTCAGTTTCTCCATTGTATAGGTAAATGTCCCCCTTGCAGCTAGCTAATAAGCAGTTCTCTAGGGAGACACTTTAAGACCATTAATATAGCCTAACTTCATCCAAATTTCCCCTTAGGTGCAGCATCCTTTGGTGATTTCTTGAAGTAGTCTGTACTGTGATGGCTGCAAAATGATGATTTCTCCAGCGCTTCCTGCACATATTTACCAGTTGGATTCCACTGTAAGCAAAAGCCCTCACTTCTCCTTTCATTTGTGCATGTGTGTATTTAACTGTTTATTGTTGGGCTGTGTAACTCTTTATGTATTAGGACTCATGGGTTCCTCTTTCATACAGGTCTATAATTCATTATTTTCCATTATTGGTGCTCAAATTGTCACAGAGTTGGCCAGTGGGAACCTTTTCAAGCTGACTCTCAGGTCCTTATAGCCAGCTCCAATCATCATTTGAGTACTTCCCCTCTCTCTGGAATAACACATTCTAGGTGGAGCTACACTTCCATATGCAAGGACTTCATATATGCATAGCTTCAGTACACTGTGTTTGGCTCTCCTGTGAGGATTAGCACAGCCTGCTGTGGCAGTATAGTGGAGAAGCCTTTAGCCCAGTGTAGGAGGAGGAGAGTTATAGCAGCAGGACTAAGTTGGGGGAGGGTGGTTGTCAATGGAAGCCTCCTTAGAGGAGGGAGAGCCATCAATACCGACTTTTGCAGCATCAGTATGGCTTGGAGAAGCATTGAAGAGGGAGGAAAATAGAAAAGCATCTCATTGAAAAAAAAAGAAAAGCATCTCAGGCAGATGGAATATCATGGGCTAATGTCCTGAGAGGAGGCAGTGTGGGGCAGCCATGCACAGGATCACACATAGCTCCTCTGTTTGAGAGTAGAAAACAGATATTCTGGCTATGATGTGGGGGAAGGCAAGACCTGAGACAGGAAGAACAGCAGGAAGTTGCTGGTGTAATGTTGATGAGAACAGTGTTCAGACATGCCCTAAATAATAGTAACTGATGCTTCCTGACTTATTACTGTTTGGTATTTAAATTTTGCTACAACCCTCCAACTATTTCCAATTTAAATATGAAGCTTTTAAAGGCATAAAGCTGGAGTCTCTTTCCTAGATACTACTAAATGGTAGAACCAGGGTATATATCATCACCCATTTGATTTACTATTTCTGTTTAGTTGGTTGTGCAAGAATGGGAAGTCAAGGAGCACACTCTGGTTTCTAGTTATGTTAACTGAATAATAGTAGTATTTATAGAACACTGTTTGGGGAAGGATTGTGGTCAAGAGTTCCTTTTTGTACATACTGACTAATATCTTTGCAAATATCCAGGTGGTGCTGTGTGTAGGCAGTAAACTCTCTGTCTGGAGTCCTAGAGGCAGCTCACATGGTACTTAAGATAGCAATTTGGTAACCATCACCTTTAAATGTTTTTGAAACTTAGTAGTGGGTGCCATTACTGGGCACAAAGATGTAGAATAAGAAGAGGGCAAAATCCAGGTGAGCATTAATGTGACAAGAAAGATGGGTGGAAAACAGACTATTGTGATGCTATAGAGACTGAGAAAAAAAAAAGGTTTGATCAGTAGTGTCAGATGCTGCAAAGGTTAGGGAGTATAGACTCCAGAAGATATATTGTCTGGATTTAGCAGTGGAAAGATGATGAAGAGACAATTTCAGTGATCAGTGATTTGAGCCAGATTAGAGCAGATTTACTGCAGGGAGCAGAATTGCATAGGGAGGCCAGAAAGCCTAAATCTGTGCATGTATGTGTTATCTGTATCTGTATTATTTTCCCATATTTGTATTTTTTTAGGTTCACTAAGTAGCCTCCATGTTGATGTTGGACATCATTAAAGTGGTCCTAATAGCTATTTTTACCTATGGTTAGGCAGTCTTACACATAGGGTTTTGTTGCCACCTCATAGATACAAAGAGTGTAGATTACTCTTGACAGTCTTGGCTTAGAAGGAAGAAAAGAGAGAGCTTGATGCCCAGTAAAAGTCAACAGATTGCATGCAAAATGAAGGTCACTGCTTATAATTAAAGTCAAATTAGAGTTTGCATGGTATTTTTTTCTCCTTTTTTCTTAAACTTATTTATTTTTAATCAAAGGATAATTCATGGTATTTATTTTTAATTATATACTTACTAGAAATCAGCAAAAGTAATTCAGTTTTTTCCTTTAGCATTTTAAAGTTGTAAAACATTCTGTGTAGTTTCTATAGTACCCCAGGCAATGGTATTATTTAAAGTTCAGGGGGGACCTGTGCGCAAGAGACAGATTTGATGTGAGATAACCCTCCCTTGTGTGTGTTGTTCAGCCTTGTATGTTAGATAGTCATGATTTCTATGCATCTTAGGAAGATGCTTCTCAGTCTAGAAATATTTGACCCTATCATGATTGATCACAGCAGAAATACTATGAGATTGTGTGGTATACACTGAACAGTTTTCCCCTTATAAAAATGGAAAACAGAGACTAAAAAAGGGATCAGTTAATGATATTTGATGGTGCCACTTGATTTATGATTTCATTATTAAGTTCACGAGTTGCCTTTATTACATGGGTGCCTAACTTGTACCAGTGAGATTGGGGGTCACTTGCCTCTATTCAAAGTGTGCCCTCAAATCCTGGCATCTTAGCACCTGTGCCAGTCGCACCATAAGTAGGTGAGAACATAGCCAGGCACGTCAGGCTACTGACAGGCCACCAGCATTGTCTTTGAAAACAAAGGATTCTACATGTCCATGTTTGTTTGTTCAGTAGTTTCATTTAGATATTGACTTTCCTTTACTCAAACTGAAAATTCAAACCTTTTGACTTCAAAGTACAGGAAGAATGTAAGGCAAACAGGACGTGTTTGATTTGTGGTGTTATTATCAATTCCTGTTGTATTATTACTTCAGACACTGAAAATGATGAACCCCCTTTAGTGGAGTGACTGATGTGATAGGCCTTAGGAAAACATGAGTGATAATATGTAAGTAGGACTTGTCAAGACTGAGAAAAATATGGTCACCAAACAGTAATACTGTCTATATTTTTTAATGTAGCTGCTGCTTTTTTCAGTTTTTAACTATTAAAATGGAACTGAAGTTTTGGGACTTTTTTTGTTGTTTTTGTTTTGAAACCAGTGATTAGCTATATATTACATCAGAAAAATCTTTGGCTAAGTAGAATTTGTCAATGTCTCAACTGTAGAATTTGGTATACTTAGAATATGTAGATCTCTGTATTTTATGGTATTGATGGTTTCTTTCGGAATAAAGTGAAATACATGAATAAATTTAACCATACTTTAATTTTTTTTAATAGAAAATGACTGCAGTATTGGAAGACCATTACTATTGGAAGGCCGGTTAGCATCCATTTCCTAAGAGAAACTTGACCTTCATTTGCTCTGGCATGGCGCAAAGCAGTCCTCAGCTTGATATGCAGGTTCTCCATGACCTCCGACAACGTTTCCCTGAGATTCCAGAGGGTGTGGTGTCTCAGTGCATGTTACAGGTAGATTACCCACCAATGATAGTGATATTACATGACAGTTTTCCTTATTAGAGCTGGCTTTGTATCATAGTGAGAAGAACTCCGTTTTCTTGTTTAAGTTGGAGAGACATCTAGAGGATTTCTCAATCATGGCACAGTCAAGATTGTGGGCTGGTATAGTGTTTGCTGTAGGGATCTGCCTGGTGCATTGTAGGATGTTTAGGACCTGCTAAATGTCATTAGTATCCCTGTACTTGTGACAACCAAAAATGTTTACATGGCAGAGAAAATCTCCTATGTTTCACGGGAGGCAAAGTCTTCCCCACTGACAACCAGTGATGTACAGAAAAGTACAAAGGCATGTAGCAAAAAGAAGAAAAGTTTTCATGTATTTCACTTCTTACATTTTGGGCTTTGTGCTATCAGTCCCCAAGTCCTTAGAACTGAATTTTGAGTTGTAAGATTATCATTATAACTTCATAGACCATATACCTTTTTAAGCCTATTTTTTGAAGTTTTTAGAGCATTCTTGCCCCCCCACCAGTTTTTTTCCTGTTTTTCTAGTTGACAAATGCTCACTAATATCCAATTTTAAGACTTCTTTCTTTAATCATGTTAGTTTTGTCTTATTGTCTTCTATTGAAATAAATCTTTCATCTCTAATAGAATGTGTCTTCCCATTGAAAGGGCAGCAGAGAAATAGGCCTAACACTCCACCTATTGAGTTTTGCATCATCCTTCACAGAATCTCAGTGTGTTTGGGCTTGTAGCATTTCCCTAGCTGCTTGAGCTTTGAGAGCAGCATTTCTGTCCTCCCCACTGAATTTCCTTACACAACCAGTTCAAACTCCACCTTACTGTATATAATCTGCAAGCTCTCCCGTGCAGTGTGAGTTGCCCGGGATATAATATAAACCTAGATGTAGCTGAGGTTATTTGAGGCTAGAGACTCCCAGATCAGTGGTGGTAACAGAGGTGCTTTCTTTGTTTGCAAGCCCTTCTACTAGGTCTTGTTTTTGTGTTAGAGCTTGTCTTTATTTTTTCTCACATACAATTCCAGTGTGAATTTCCACTCTTTAGTCCCATTTTGGTTTCTGGAGTGAAATCCTTGTGGTGTAAACCACTTCCTAGCAGTCAGTTTCATAACTTACCTAGGGCCCCACCTAGGTCTTACGTTGTTTTTTGAATATAATTTAATTTAGCCCTTTATTATCTGTAGTCTATTCATGGCTTGTTTTCATTTTACTAAGTTAAAAGATTGGAACTTTAAACTCAACTCAGTGAAGATGTGTTGATAACTTACATTGAAGATGTGTTGATAACTTACATTGTCGTCAGTTTTTTAGTCTTTTCTTCATTTGGGATTACTGTTGTTTATCACTATGGAGACTTATCACCTACTCTCTCTGGAAAATTTCTGCTTGTGGGTAATATATATAAGACACAGTAGTTTACCTTTTTTTTCCCTTTAATTGTAGTATAGTTGACTTACAATGTTGTGTTTCAAGTGTACAGAAAAATGATACAGCTTATATATATATAAACACACACATATATAAAGCCTTCCTCAGTGATCAGTGCAAAAAATAGAGAAAAACAATAGAATGGGAAAGACTAGAGATCTCTTCAAGAAAATTAGTGATATCAAGGGAACATTTCATGCAAAGATGGGCACAATAAAAGACAGAAATGGTATGGACCTAAGAGAAGCAGAAGATATTAAGAAGAGGTGGCAACAACAGACAGAAGAACTGTACAAGAAAGATCTTCATGACGCAGATAACCATGATGGTGTGATCACTCATCTAGAGCCAGGCATCCAAGAATCCGAAGTCAAGTCGGCCTAAGGAAGCATCACTACGAACAAAGCTAGTGGAGGCAATGGTATTCCAGTTAAGCTATTTCAAATCCTAAAAGGTGATGCTGTGAAACTGCTGCACTCAATATGCCAGCAAATTTGGAAAACTCAGCAGTGGCCACAGGACTGGAAAAGGTCAGCTTTCATTCCAATCCCAAAGAAAGGCAGTGCCAAAGAATGTTCAAACTACTGCACTCATCTCACATGCCAGCAAAGTAATGCTCAAAATTCTCCAAGGCAAGCTTCAGTACATGAACCATGAACTTCCAAATGTTCAAGCTGGATTTAGAAAAGGCAGAGGAACCAGAGATCAAACTGCCAATATCTGTTGGATCATCAAAAAAGCACAAGAGTTCCAGAAAGACATCTACTTCTGCTTTATTGACCATGCCAAAGCATTTGACCGTGTGGATTACAACAAACTGTGGAAAGTTCTTCAAGAGATGGGAATACGAGACCACCTGACCTGCCTCCTGAGAATTCTGTATGCAGGTCAAGAAGCAACAGTTAGAACTGGACATGGAACAACAGAGTGGTTCCAAATTGGGAAAGGAGTATGTCAAGGCTGTATATTGTCACCCTGCTTATTTAACTTATATGCATAATACATTATGCAAAATGCCTGGCTGGATGAAGTAGAAGCTGGAATCAAGATTGACAGGAGTAATATCAATAACCTCAGATATGCAGATGACACCACCCTTATGACAGAAAGCGAAGAGGAATTAAAGAGCCTCTTGAGGAGAGTGAAAAAGTTGGCTTAAAGCTCAACATTCAGAAAACAAAGATCATGGCATCCAGTCCCATCACTTCATGGCAAATAGATGGGGAAACAATGGATATAGTGACAGACTATTTTTTTGGACTCCAAAATCCCTGAAGGTGGTGACTGCAGTCACGAAGTTAAAAGATGCTTGCCCCTTGGAAGAAAAGCTATGACCAATGTAGACAGCATAGTAAAAAGCAGAGACAATACTTTGCTGACAAAGGTCTGTCTAGTCAAAGCTATGGTTTTTCCAGTAGTCATGTATGGATGTGAGAGTTGGACTATAAAGAAAGCTGAGTGCTGAAGATTTGATGCTTTTGAACTGTGGTGTTGGGGAAGACTCTTGAGAGTCCCTTGGACTGCAAGGAGATCCAACCAGTCCATCCTAAAGGAGATCAGTCCTGAATATTCACTGGAAGGACTGATGCTGAAGCTGAAGCTCCAATACTTTGACCACCTGTCATGAAGAACTGACTCATTGGAAAAGGCCCTGACTCTGGGAAAGAGTGAAGGCGGGAGGAGAATGGGATGACAGGATGGGATGGTTGGATGGCATCGCTGACTCAATGGACATGAGTTTGAGCAAGCTTCAGGAGTTGTTGATGCACAGGGACGCCTGGCATGCTGTAGTCCATGGGGTTGTAAAGAGTCGGACACGACTGAGCAACTGAATTGATACATATATATCTCTTGTTTTTCAGATTCTTTTCCATTATAAGTTATCAAAGATGTTGAATATAAGATCGTTCCCTGTGCTATACAGTAGCTCCTTGTTTATCTGTTTTATCCCAAACTCTAAACATATTCCTTCTTCCCTCCCTCCCTCTTTCTCCAGTAGTTTGAATTTAATAAACAAGCTTTAAAGCATCCCTCTAGGCTGTCATCCCCTAATGGAGCATCAGTTTTGTGGGATATGATGCCTTATTGCCTTAGTCCTTTCAGGAGTGTTCATATATGTTTTCTTAAAAATTCTGACCTCTTTGTCTGGCTAAACAGATTATCATTTTTTATTCGAATTTACTGTTTGATAAATTTTTTATTCTTTTTTTCTTTTTAAAACATTTAGCAGGTCTGATACAATGTTTGAATCTGTTGTGTTATTATTAAAATATTTCCATAAAGAAAACACTTAACCATCTTTTATTTATGGTTTTAAATTTTTCTTCCTAAGAAAATATGCTCAGCCTGTCGCTTATAGACATGTGTATGAATAGGCTGACTACTTCCAACTTTGTATCATTAGAATTTGGTTCTTTTTTGTGGAAACTAATTCAGTGTAGAAAACATGAAATTTTAGGGTAATTGATTTTTTAAAAAGTGAAATAATAAAGTGGCTGTAACTGCTTTAGATTTCAAATAAAACTCTAGATTTTGTTCTCCTTTTAATCCATGATTTATACAAACCATGAAGGAGCTATTTTCTCTCTTTTTTTCTTCCCTTCCCTTCATCTGTCAGTGGCGTTGTCTAGTCGGCAGCCAGTTTGAATATTTTGGCTCAAAATTCACTGATTATCTAACAATATCTATTGTCTATCTTAATATCTGTCTCCTTTCCACCCTTGATCAGCATGATTTAAAGCAGGATAAGAAAAAGCCCAAACATAATTCTTTTCTTTTTCAATGCCAACAATTCCTTTTTTCCCTGACTCAGGTAATATTGTAAAAAATATTTGAATTTTAGTATCAAAAGGTTTATAGAAGGAAAAGGAGAAAAGTTATTGTGGCATTTTGATAAAGCCAATTTGTTGTATTTCTGAGAATTCATCTTACACAGGTTTGCTTGACTGAATTTTCTTTCACTCCCTAAAGTTCCAGTATAGCAGTGTACTTTTAGCATCATACACTAGCCCTTGAAATTACTGTATGACAATGGAAAGAGCACTGGGTGTCCGGAAACGAAGAATCTAGAACTGGCTCTCCAACTAACTAGTTAAGTACTTGTCAAGTCTTGGAACTTTCTAGGCATGTCTTTTCTCATCTGGGAATGAGTTGAGTTGGAGTCAGTAAACCCTACAAGTTCTCCCTCTAAAATTAAAGCATTTTATGTCATGCTTTTTATTTAGCTGTATTCGGTTCTCAGCAGAAGTGAAGTGTTTGCTTTTATTGCTTTCAATAAAATGTACTTCTCCCTAAAGTACAGTAATACGTGTATATGTGCATATTTGTGTATATATTTATGAAATACAGAGATGGTCATGATAATTGAGAAACTTTAATAGATTACTTCAAAGGCCATGAATAAATGTGTTTGAGACTAATACAATAGTTCTGAATTCTGTTGTTTAATGGAATACTGCTTTATTGCTGTTGATTGGAACATCTAAAATGGCAGTTTGTTATTTACCATCTTTGTGTGTGTATGTAATTCTAAAAATTGAAATTTTGAAAGTTTACCAAGCTACTTTTGAGCAAGTAAAAACGTTTGAGACTGTGGGTATGTGAATGAATTTCATTAAGGCAGTCAAGACTGGGTGGGTTTTGTGTTAAATTACTATAAGTTTGGCAGACTCCTGGAAATATAATTCAAAGAGTGGATTTGTTGTTTTTTGTTTTTGTTTTTTTTTAAGTGATTTCTTCTGTTAACTTAATCTTTCATAATGAAACAGTTGAAGTGATATAGGGATAACTGTGGTGAAATAAAAAGTATAGACTGCTTGAGAATTTTTATTGTTTTGAATCTTTAGGAGTTTTATTGTTATTTTTTCACTTTGGGGTTTGTTTGCCTTTTGAAAACTAATGCCTGGTTATTTTCCTGTGTATTAGTGTAAATATTAATAATGGATATGACTTATACTTGTAGATTACAGCAAGTGTGGTGAATCCAAGATTAGCCCAACATTGTAATTTGTTGAGATGCAACAAATGTAAGATGAGTCCTGGATTTGGAGTCAGAAAAGTTGGGGTTGAGTCACAAGGTTCATTAGTAGGTACTGTACATTTCTGTAGCAGTAGCAGTAGCGGTAGTACTCGTTATGTGAGCTAAATGTCTGTAAAATAATATGAATGGTTTGGGATCTGCCTTTCAAGATCGATGACCGTGAAACTTTGTGTGTGTAAAAATATGATTGTCTACTTATCTTCTGACAATTGTGTTTACATAAATCTGTGGCAAAGCTTCAGTTCCACTATTAGGATCTGTTAATGTTGCCAATGTTCTGTGTACCATTTTTTTCCCCTAGAATAACAACAATCTGGAAGCCTGTTGCCGAGCCCTTTCCCAGGAGAGTAGCAAATACTTGTATATGGAATACCATAGTCCAGATGACAACAGGATGAATAGAAACCGTCTTTTGCATATTAACCTGGGTATTCATTCTCCTAGTAGCTACCACCCAGGAGATGGTGTGCAACTTAATGGCGGTCGAACGCTGGTACATAGCTCAAGTGATGGACATATTGATCCACAGCATGCAGCAGGTAAACAGCTGATATGTTTAGTTCAGGAACCACACTCAGCTCCAGCTGTTGTCGCTGCTACTCCCAACTACAATCCTTTTTTTATGAATGAACAGAACAGAAGTGCAGCTACTCCTCCTTCACAGCCACCTCAACAGCCATCTTCCATGCAAACAGGAATGACTCCATCTGCTATGCAAGGGCCTTCACCACCACCGCCGCCACCTCCTTCCTACATGCACATACCTCGGTATAGTACCAATCCAATTACTGTTACAGTATCCCAAAACCTCCCTTCTGGACAGACTGTACCAAGAGCTTTACAAATTCTTCCACAAATTCCGAGCAATCTGTATGGGTCTCCTGGTTCTATTTATATTAGACAGACATCTCAGAGTTCATCAGGAAGACAGACTCCTCAGAATACGCCATGGCAGTCCTCACCACAGGGCCCAGTGCCTCATTATAGCCAGCGTCCTTTACCTGTGTATCCGCATCAACAAAACTATCCACCTTCTCAGTATTCTCCCAAACAACAGCAGATCCCTCAACCTGCTTACCATTCACCACCTCCTTCTCAATGTCCTTCACCCTTCAGCTCTCCTCAGCATCAAGTACAACCGTCTCCGTTGGGCCACCCCAGTTCTCATGTCTTTATGCCACCTAGTCCTTCAACGACGCCACCCCATCCATATCAACAAGGACCTCCTAGCTATCAGAAACAGGGAAGCCATTCGGTAGCCTATCTCCCATATACAACATCTAGCTTACCCAAAGGATCCATGAAGAAGATAGAAATTACAGTAGAACCCTCTCAGAGATCTGGAACAGCCATGAATAGGAGTCCTTCACCTATCAGTAACCAGCCATCTCCACGGAATCAGCACTCATTGTACACAGCCACCACACCACCGTCAAGTTCTCCTTCCAGAGGGATATCCAGTCAACCGAAACCTCCGTTTACTGTCAATCCTGTGTATATTACATATACACAGCCCACTGGACCTTCTTGTGTTCCATCACCATCTCCTCGGATGATACCAAACCCAACGACCGTTTTTAAAATCACTGTAGGCCGAGCCACAACTGAAAATCTGTTAAATTTAGTGGACCAAGAAGAACGTTCTGCAGCCCCAGAACCTATTCAGCCCATTTCAGTGATACCAGGCTCTGGGGGAGAAAAGGGAAGCCATAAATATCAGAGAAGTTCCAGTTCTGGATCTGATGACTATGCCTATACACAAGGTAATTTCAGCCCTTTTATATGACATGTCTTTGTGGGGTGATGGCAATCTCCTACTCAAAAGTGAATAATTTATATTAGGTGTTTAATTAATGTACTATGTATTAAATATTCAGCAGTAGCATTGCTATTAAGAATAGGGTTAGCACTTCAGAATCATCTACAGATTTTACTTTAAAATAGAAAAATGCAGTCATGATAAGAGGGCCCTCAAAGACTGTATGTTAAGAAGTGCATTCATTGGGAGAAAATCGTAGGCCAGTGAAATAAACATGGTCCAAAACGCCAACTACAGAGTGGGAAAAAGTGACTCATAGAGGGTGGCCTAAAGTTTATCACAGGGAAACATTTGAATATTTTTTAAGCGGATGCACTGAAGAGGGTGAGGAAGTTTTAAGTATTGTGTATTTATGGGAAGTAGGGTTGGTAATGAAGAACATTATTGGAGTAGTTCACAGTGGACCTAACTCAGTATAAAGAGAAGAAAGTATCTTAAAAGTTTGTTAAAAGGTAGGGGAGAATTTACTATTCTTTCAGTATATGTGAAACAACACCTAGGGATTGTTAAAGAGAATCTTAGAGGAATGTATAGATGATATTATTTTGGCAGAAAGAACTGGATCCGAATTAAAGCACATAGGAAGGCCAAATCTCATTAGCAAGACTTTAGAATAAATGTCAACTGAAGTTGAGTGACAGAGGTCTTTATGGGTATTTCATACATTAGCCATGCATGTACAGATGTCCCTGTGACTTGTTCAGTGTTATTTTCTGCAATGACTTTGTCTGTAATGCTATAGCCTTGCTGTTACATCAGCGAGCAAGGATGGAGAGGTTAGCAAAGCAATTGAAACTTGAGAAAGAGGAGCTAGAGCGCTTGAAGGCAGAAGTTAATGGTATGGAGCATGACCTGATGCAGAGGCGGCTCAGAAGGGTCAGCTGCACCACAGCGATCCCAACGGTAAGTAGGATCTACTAGGATGTATTGGGTGGGGGCAGGGCGGGCATGTTGCCTGTCTGAGTTTTTTCTTCTGATGTTCTCTTCCCGGTAGAGTTTTGTTCTGTCAGCAGCACGTGAAGGATGTTTGCCTTTTGTTCTCAACCAAATAAATGGATAGTTTCTTTTGTTCTCTTGGGGGAATTCTGCAGTTTCATGAGTATTTTCAAAGATAATTAATGTATGGCAGCTCAGTCACGGTAGATTGCTTTCTGTTAGAATAGAAATGAGAAGTAAAACTTGACCAAATGCTTTATAAGTGTTCACAGGTATTCATTTATGCTTTTGTGTATTATGTACATATATATTTAAGACAGTTATTTTTCTCAGTACATTCATGTACATGAGCTAGAGCAAGATCAGTATGCATCTTGGGAAAGTGTTGACTCTAGATCATTATCAAGCAGAGTAATTTTGAAGTGTAGATAATTGTAGAAACTAAGATAACAGTATGAACAGGAGTTGTAACAGGGGTTATAGGAGTACTGTCATGCATAGATTTGGGCCACATACTGTTAACAAATTGGTAGCTATGTAAGTTCAACAGTTCTTAAAAACCTCAGATCCCAAATATCATTTGACTCTTCAACATTGATTTAGCAAGCAATTTTTACAGCTTATGAGTGTGGTCCAAAGCAAGGAGTTTAGTGCATACCTGCTAGAGGGAAGAATCGAGTCATCCCTCAAGAAATAACTTGAATACTGTATATGGTAAGTGATCTGTGAGGTCGTACGAGAAGTTACTTCAACTAGTCGATCTGCATCCTCCATGTACTTTACTCTCACTAGTCCTCTGAAGCTCTCTGTGTAGAACTCTTGTGTGTTCTTGAGGAATCACCTTGCTCTATTCTTTTACCTGCAGGCATTCTTAACCTCTTTTGACCAAGGTTAAGTTCAGAGACAAAGGAGGGAAAGAGAAGCTAAGGGTTTGGGAGCTGCTAGCTGGTATAGTGGTTAGGACTTTGCCTCCGAAGGCAAGGGATATGGGTTTGGTTCCTGGTTAGGGAAGAAAGACACAAGTTCTTAATGGGAGACGACAGGAGACTTAGGGACTGCCAAGGTGATGCCGTATCCTTCTCTAGCATCACTGGAGAGTTAAGATTGCAAACCTCATGCAGTATCCTTCTTTAGCATCATCTCAGGAGACAGGAGATGCCTAAGGGATGGCAAACCTCATGCACTGTGCGCTCCCATCGTCTCTGGAGACTTAGGGACTGCCAACCTGATGTCGTATCCTTCTGTAGCATTGTCTCAGGAGACAGGAGATGTAGGCATTACAAATCTTATACAGTATCCTTCTCTAGCATCATCTCAGGAGACAGGAGACTGAGATGACTTAGGGATGGCAAACCTCTTGCACTATCCTCTCCTATCATCTCAGGAGGCAGCAGACTTATAGACTGCCAACCTGATGCTGTATCCTTTTCTAGCATCACAGGAGACAGGAGACTTAGGGATTGCAAACCACATGCAGTATCCTTCTGCTGCATCATCTCAGGATACTTAGGGATGGCAAGCCTGATTCAGTATCCTTCTCTAGCATCATCACAGGAGACTTGGGGACTGCGAACCTGTTGCAGTATCCTTCCCTAGCATCCCCAGAGACAGGAGATTTAAGGATTGCACACCTGATCCAGTATCCTTCTCTTGCATCCATCTCTGGAGACAGGAGACTTAGGGATTGCAAGCCTCATTCATTATCCTTCTATAGAAACCCTCTGTGGAGACAGGAAGCTTATTGTGTACAAACCTCATTCATTATCCTGCTATAGAAACGCTCTATGGATACAGAAGAGAGGAGACTTATTGATTACAAATCTGATTCATTTTCCTTCCTTAGAATCTCTCCATGGAGACAGGTTACAGGAGACACTTTCATTAATTACAAACCTGATTCATTATGCATCTATAGAATATCTCTGTGGAGACAGGAGACTTATTTATTAGAAACCTGATTCATTATCCTTCTATAGAATCCCTCTTTGTAGACAGGTAACAGGAGCCATATTGATTACAAACCTGATTTAGTATCCTTCTATAGAATCTGTGTATATAGACAGGAGGCACAGGCAACAGGAGACAGGAGTCACAGGAGACTGTCAACAGCAGACAAAGGAGACAGGAGATGACATTTATTATACACCTAATTCATTATCCTTCTATAGAAACCCTCTATGGAGACAGGGAAAGAAGATGACACAGTTTTATTGATTACAAACCTGATATATTATCCTTCTATAGAATACCTCTATGGAGACAGGAGACACTTGATTACAAACCTGATTCATCATACTTCAATTCAAAATCAATTTTATGATGAAAAAACCCTCCCAGTGCACATGTGACTTTGAATCTCTCTTCTCCTATTTCACTTATACCTCCTTGGATAAGCTACTTTCTTTATATTTGGTTTCTCTTCTACAATATCTATGACTACCCATCTCATAGAATTTTTTTACATTTCCAGAAGAACCTAAGATAATATACATTACACAGTTTATATAATGTCTAACAAATAGTCTTCTGACTACAGAATTTTGGTTTACAAGACAGTGGAAAAATGTGCTTAAATCTGAAATATTTTGAAAACATTTGATTTTCTTTTCACTTTAGGAACCTGTATAACATATAAATGTCAAAGCATTTAGCCTGAATTCCCTTTTGTTCCTAGAGGCTCATTGCTAATGTTTATAAGGCTTCTTTAACCAGTAGTGCATGAAAACCTGGTTAGAAACCCATGTGCCTCGTCAAACTGAAATGCATATTTGTGACCAACTATAGGTACAGTTGCAGAAACTTCGAGGATCAGCAAAATAATCTTTCTAAGGAGGACTGAAGTGAAAAATGCCTAACAGCCATCATTTCTCTCAGGTTGTTGTTTGCAAAGCCATTTATTAAATGCTGTGAGAGATGCCATCACTTAACCACATCTGTATGCAAAAAGACACATAGATCCATGAACCTGTACATGGGGGAAGAAAAGCTAATGTAACACAGTGAATCAATAGTGCTGGCCAACTGCATGGTAATGATATTAACTACTTTTGAGAGTTCTGAGATTAGAACTCTGTTAAGCTTCTTGCTAGTAGAGTTCAAAGATGTGACAATTGCATGGAGAAGAGGGAAATTTAAGTTATACCTTGAAGGATAAGCAAGATTTTACTCATCAGCACTTCCACTTACTCCACCCCACAAGTTTTTTCCTCTTCATTGGTCTTCTGATTAATTGGGTGGTGGCATCAACCAACCCACAGTCCGGATGCATAATCAAGGCCAAACTATGAAAGAACATCACTGGTCTCCAACCTTCTTCTCTGACAAATATTCTCCAACTGATAGAACACGTGAATTAAGGTATTTGTGCCACATTTTGTTTAACAGGCTATTTTTTTCCTTAGAAATGTCAGATGTTAAGTATTCTGGAACTTTACAAACAAGCAAGGTTAAATTACACCAAACCCATCTTGACCCCACCTTCATGAAAGTACAGTATAGTTTCCTGCAAATAGTAGTAATGATCCAGAAACAGCTATTGTCCCCTCACTCCAAGGCTGTTAGGAGGCATAGGAATCTGACAGATAAAATTGTAGTTTAGTGAGTACCAAGGGTTCTGTTGTCTTTGGAAATGAGCATGTTGACAAGAGCCTTTTGGTTGTTACCAGCAAATGTGCAGTGGCCTCTTGACTATAACGTTTATTATAGTTATTTACATACCGGATTACACAGTTTCACTGTTCAAGACCACTATGCCTGAAATAGCCCCCTCTGCCCGCAAATATGTTAGAAGGATTTGTTCCTTCAGGTACTTGACATTCTCCAGAATTCTACAAAGCAAAGACTAGATTCTTTCATATATTCCTAGGAAGATAGCATCATTTTTTGAAACCCTTGAACAAGTGCTTTACTACAATGCCCAGATGTATTTTACACTTTTAAGTTAATATAGACAAGGTGTAAGCATTTATTTTACATGTTAACATAGGAATGAGAAGAGCAATCCATAATAAGTATTTCTCAGTGATGTTTTTGTTGGCCTATCATTCCAAGGGATTATTGCACTTATTATAGACTGCCTGTTACATCACTTTTTAAAAAATTTTGACACCACCCCAGATATTCTGAGATGTCCTCACAGGATAGTATCTTGCGTCATTCAAAGTTAACCCATTTCCCAGATTTTCCTTCACTTTTATATTTACCTTTTTAGTAAAACACCATGTTTAACAGAAGAAGATTTTCTTCTGTCTTCCTGTGATAGCAGATATTTATCTTTTACTTCATGTAGTTAGAGTCACCTTAGTAACTGGTTTCCTAGCTGTACTGTGCTGAAAGCTTCATTACTTCTAGAGTCTAAATTCTTAACTTCATTTTTTACTATACATATATGTGAATAGTAAAGACATTCAGAGCATTGGGGGAAGTAGAGGCTTCCAAAAAGCTTTACCTAATCGAAAAATAGGGCTCTCTTCACATTTCAACGTCTCATGTTCATGTCAAGGCAGAAAGAAACAGACTTGGGGGGAGAATGGAATCTATTTGTTCCCGCAATTTTCATGTACTAGGCTACTAGCTTCCTTTTATCTAGAAAAAACAGAAGATGCAAAGACTTCTAGAGAAGTTTCTAAAAAAGACTTCTATATAAATCCTGGATCTGCCCATTACAATTTTTTAAGAACCTTTGGAAAATTATATAACCTGTTTGTGCCTCAGCTTCATCATATATACACTGGGGGTGATATCAGTACTTACCTGGGAAGATTATTTTGAGGCAAGAATGAGAGACTTCTGGTGAACATAGTGCCTGACAATTAGTAACTATTCATTAAAAGAAGTACCATTGTAATTTTTACCAGCCTTGACAAGACTAAAATCATGGACACTGCTTATTTACAAGGTTGATGCTTAGTTTCCCTTACCATGCAAATGTAGAAAGAAAATATTCTCAATGCTCTGTGATTAATATATGGTAGTATTTGTATGAGAGAACATAGTGTAGTGTGATAGCCCTGCCACATTATATGAGGATTTTGTTTTTATGTGTCCATATTGATGTCACCATTTCACCTATTCCTTGGAAAACATAGTATAAAGACTTCTTATACATGCCCTTTAAGGGATTAAGGCCATTTTCTTGGTACTTACCTATCAGAACAGTTAACATGAATACCAGTTCTTAAATGTTGAGCTTGATAATGACTTTCCCACAATTGCTATTTTGGGTCCTTTCTTACTAGCCTGAGGAAATGACAAGATTGAGAAGCATGAACAGACAACTCCAGATAAATGTTGACTGTACACTGAAAGAAGTTGACCTCCTTCAATCTAGAGGTATAGACTTGATTATTTGGTAAACCATAAGTAATACTGTGGTGTGTTATGCTGCTTCAATGGCAATCATTTTGGTTTTACAGATATAATGGGTAAAAACTACCTTTTACAAGATCACAGTCCTGGTATAGACATCCCTCACCCTACAGTCAGATCAGATTTGGGTGATCAAAAATAATTTTACTTTCACAACTTCATCATTAAGTTCTTACCGTTTAGACTGTTGGATGGTGGCACTCTATATTTATCCTCTTTTAGTCATACACTATTTCATAAACTGTTGGGTTTTATTTCTAAAACACAGTAGATTTATGTGATAGTCATCTAAGATGTCTGTGCAAACAGGGATCCCAACTCAGAACATCAGATTACTCAGTTTAAAAGGAAAATCTGTATGCCGTTTTCTTTGTTATCTGTTACATGAAAACATTCAACTGTATCTTAGAGATTTCATTTTTGTGGCTTTCTGATTGAAGTCTACTACAGTAAAAGTTCCCTGAATTCACTTTGATTTACTCAGCTCACCAGGTATGCTTCATTTTCCTCTGTAAAATATCCAACCATGAGGCTGCATTCTGGCAAGTCCACGTACTATTGCTCCCATCAGTTGAATTGTCTGCTTACCAACAGACAGCTGTGCCCGTTCTCAAACCTGCTTAGATTACAAAAGGATGGTAACTGGCATAATGTTTTTAAAATGGATATGGATGTAAGAAATGCTGCTCTTTCTATTAAAATGATAGGCAGATGCTTTATAAAGACTCAAGGGCAGACACTACAAAAACATAGAGGCTGTGAATTAGATACAGTGAAAACAACTGAAAAGGGCTATGAAGGAAAATCATAAACATCTAATAGGATTCTAGTCTCAAATTAACTGTTCTTAAAATATCTTTTTTTGCCCCATTCTAAAATGAAAACAGGAAATTATAGATCGCGGTGCAGCAAACTAGCCTGCTGTCTGTTTTTGTAAATAGTTTCAGTGGAACATAGCCACACCCATTTCTTTACATATTGTCTGGGCCTGCTTTTGTGTTTCATCACCACTGTTGAGGGCTTACAACTGTATTTCAGGACTACAAAGCTTAAAATGTTTATTGTCTGGCCCTTTACAGTAAAAGTTTGCCCACCCCCACTTTAGGTCATCATCTACCTGTAGGTAGAGTTTATTTCTGAAAGACAATATAGAAGTCTGGTCAGCACACACAAAGAAAAGGTCTTGGTCTAACACTGTAATATTGCTTTGGTCCTATTCTTCTATCCTTAACGTTGCTGTGTGATTGTTAACAATTCTGTGTGCGAGTCAGCCAACCCACCATTACTTACTGTTCTAAATTATGGCAGCTGAGAGAGCTTCTACTCTCTTTTCAAGTACCCTGTTACCATTTTAAAGCAAGATTACACAGTAGAGGCAGGAGAATAAAAAGATATGGAACTTTGTACAATAGACAGAAGCACATTTCCATGTGAAACTTGAGCACTCTGGTTGAGTACCCTTATTTTCAGAAGCCTAGGAACTCTACAGCCTAGTAGCTGTAAGCAGTGAAAGACACTGTATGGGAGATTATACAAACTACTGTTACTATATTAGAAGGTTGCATCCATTATTTTGTTTCTGTGTTCTTTGAAGATAAATAAGAATCCCTGAAACATTTCATTAGGATATTTTTAGTAAAGGCCTTATAGGATCTAGAAATTAAATCAGCAGCTATAACTCAAGAAATTGAAGAAATAACATATACAGCATCTTAAACCATAAAAAGATCTAATTAATAAATTAAGTACCATTATGGCTTTCATGAGCCATCGTGGGATTTGTTTTCAGAAAATTATTAAACACAGCATACCTAAATGGAATAAAAGTACTGCAAGGAAAACTGTTCTTAAGGTTTTATAAACAAAGACCTACCTGTGCTTTTGGTCTCCAGTGGGCTACAAAGAGCTCTTTTTGGTGCTGTGTTAGTTGCTCAGTGGTGTCCGACTGTTTGTGACCCCATGGACTGTAGCCCACCTCTGTCCATGGAATTCTCCAGCAAGAATACTGGAGTGAGTTGCCATTTCCTTCTCCAGGGTGTCTTCCCAACCCAGGGATCGAACCTGGGTCTGCTACATTGCAGGCAGATTCTAATCTCCCTTCGTAAGGGGTCCAAATATATCTATTTTACACTAAGTTCCATTCTTATATCCTCTGGAAAATTTTGTACTGAGTTTCCAACCTCAGCTTTTCATCTAGAGATTCTAGACATTTTCTGAGGTGCAGCATTTGGATTTGATAGTTATCAGTACATGACTTGATAAAAGCCAGCTTTATTTTTACTTTTGGTGAGCAAAACTTTCTTGGGGGAAAAAACTGGGTTTAAAATTCAGGAGATTCAATATATTTAAGCTATCAGTACCACACAACATCCTCTGTGAATAAGCATGGGTACAGTTTAAAAGCTTAAATGGAATTGTGCAGAACTACTGGCAGGGTGCAGTGACAGTTTCACAGATGTGAACATAGGACCCAAAGCTGGCATTGGATCAAAACCAACCTTAAAGGAATCACATCAGGAAAAGGAGCTGAAACAAAGACTGTATCAAGGAGTAAACAGTTTAAATGAGAGATGAGATTGTTCTGTTATTCTGAAATTGACAGCATATCATTTTTTTTTATTGATAAGTCTGTAGGCAACGTTTGGAGAAGGAAATGGCAACCCACTCCATTATACTTGCCTGGAGAATCCCAGAGACAGAGGAGCCTGGTGGGCTGCCGTCTGTGGGGTCACACAGAGTCAGATACAACTCAAGTGACTTAGCAGCAGCAGCATAGGCAACGTTTAAGATTCTCATTTTCTTAAAGATTGGAATCCCTGAGCTTCTGATATCATAACAACTTGAGTAATCTTTATCAATGTATATGTATAGCTGCTTCTTTACCTGAATTTATAATGAATAAAAATTTAAGGTAAATACAACAGACAGAAACATAAGCTGTGTCATGGTTTTGTTTATTAACATCAAAACAAACAGGGAAATCAGTTCAGTCATCCTTTCATTTCTCTTCTTCATTTAGCTAGCTGTGCCACATACTAAATCCTGTGAAAACAGATAAGCTTTATAGTTAAAAAATGTTCCTTTAGGTGATACATTGTAGAAAGACGCTTGGGTCTTTTCTCATAATGCTTAAACACTTTCAGTAAGAGAACAGTAGGATACTATAATGAATTATAAACTCCTGCAAAACCAGCTCCCCTTTTTATGTGTTTATTTTCCTCCTATATTTTCCCTAACAAAAACATGCATGTAACAGGAGAAAGACCCCTAAATGCCTGCTGATTTTATTTTCTTTATAGGAAACTTTGATCCAAAAGCTATGAATAATTTTTATGACAACATAGAACCTGGTCCGGTTGTACCACCCAAGCCACCTAAAAAAGGTGAGTAGCAAGATGTCACAGACATCACAGAAATGTATGTGAAAGCCATTTGGGAGTTCATCTAAAAAGCTAAAGAAATTTCCATTAGAGATAGCATTTTGAATGTTATTCTATTGATAAACTTTACTTTCTAAAAGTTACAAAAACTAACTCTGAGAGTTATTGTCAAGGGTAACTAAAATGGAATATATAATTTATTTTTTAAAAATAACTTTCAGTTCAGTTCAGTTGCTCAGTCGTGTCAGACTCTTTGTGACCCCATGAACCGCAGCACACCAGGCCTCCCTGTCCATCACCAACACGCAGAGTCCACCCAAACCCATGTCCATTGAGTCAGTGATGCCATCTAACCATCTTATCTTCTGTTGTCCCCTTCTCTTCCTGCCCTTAATCTTTCCCAGCATCAGGGTCTTTTCCAATGAGTCAGCTCTTTGCATGAGGTGGCCAAAGTATTGGAGTTTCAGTTTCAGCATCAGTCCTTCCAATGAACACCCAGGACTGATCTCCTTTAGGATGGACTGGTTGGATCTCCCTGCAGTCCAAGGGACTCCCAAGAGTCTTCTCCAACACCACAGTTCAAAAGCATCAGTTCTCTGGTGCTCAGCTTTATTTATAGTCCAACTCTCACATCTTTACATGACTACTGGAAAAATCATAGCCTTGACTAGATGGACCTTTGTTAGCAGAGTAATCTCTCTGCTTTTTAATATGCTGTCTAGGTTGGTCATAACCTTCCTTCCAAGGAGTAAGCGTCTTTTAATTTCATGGCTGCAGTCACCATCTGCAGTGATTTTGGAGCCCAGAAAAATAAAGTCAGCCATGGTTTCCACTGTTTTCCCATCTATTTGGCATGAAGTGATGGGGCCAGATGCCATGGTCTTAGTTTTCTGAATGTTGAGCTTTAAGCCAACTTTTTCACTCTCATCCTTCACTTTCATCAAGAGGCTCTTTAGTTCTTCACTTTCTGCCATAAGGGTGGTGTCATCTGCATATCTCGGAGAAGGCAATGGCAACCACGCCAGTACTCTTGCCTAGAAAATCCCATGGACGGAGGAGCCTGCTAGGCTGCAGTCCGTGAGTTCACAAAGAGTCAGACGCGACTGAGCAACTTCACTTTCACTTTTCACTTTTATGCATTGGAGAAGGAAGTGGGAACCCACTCCAGTGTTCTTGCCTGGAGAATCCCAGGAACGGGGGAGCCTGGTGGGCTTCCGTCTATGGGGTCGCACAGAGTCAGACACGACTGAAGTGACTTAGCAGCAGCAGCATCTGCATATCTGAGGTTATTGATATTTCTCCTGGCAATCTTGATTCCAGCTTGTGCTTCTTCCAGCCCATCATTTCTCATGATGTACACTGCATTTAAGTTAAATAAGCAGGGTGACAATATACAGCCTTGACGTATTCCTTTTCCTATTTGGAACCAGTCTATTGTTCCATGTCCAGTTCTAACTGTTGCTTCCTGACCTGCATACAGGTTTCTCATGAGGGAGGTCAGCTGGTCTGGTATTCCGATTTCTTTCAGAATTTTCCACAGTTTATTGTGATCCACACAGTCATAGGCTTTGGCATAGTCAATAAAGCAGAAATTGATGTTTTTCTGGAACTCTCTTGCTTTTTCGATGATCTAGCAGATGTTGGCAATTTGATTTCTGGTTCCTCTGCCTTTTCTAAAACCAGCTTGAACATCTGGAAGTTCACGTATTGCTGAAGCTGGCTTGTAGAATTTTAAGCATCACTTTATTAGCGTGTGAGATGAGTACAATTGTGCGGTAATTTGAACATTCTTTGGCATTGCCTTTCTTTGGGATTAGAATGAAAACTGACCTTTTCCAGTCCTGTGGCCACTGCTGAGTTTTCCAAATTTGCTGGCATATTGAGTGCAGCACTTTCACAGCATCATCTGTCAGGATTTGAAATAGCTTAACTGGAATTCCATCACCTCCACTAGCTTTGTTTGTAGTGATGCTTCCTAAGGCCTACTTGACTTCACATTCCATGATGTCTGACTCTAGGTGAGTGATCACACCATCGTGATCATCTGGATCATGAAAATCTCTTTTGTACAGTTCTTCTGTGTATTCTTGCCACCTCTTCTTAATATCTTCTGCTTCAGTTCAGTCGCTCAGTCATGTCAGACTCTTTGCGACCCCATGAACCGCAGCACACCAGGCCTCCCTGTCCATCACCAACTCCAGAGTCCACCCAAACCCATGTCCATTGAGTCGGTGATGCCATCTAACCATCTTATCTTCTGTCGTCCCCTTCTCCTCCTGCCCTCAATCTTTCCCAGCATCAGGATCTTTTCCAATGAGTCAGCTCTTTGCATGAGGTGGCCAAAGTATTGGAGTTTCAGCCTCAGCATCAGTCCTTCCAATGAACACCTAGGACTGATCTCCTTTAGGATGGACTGGTTGGATCTCCTTGCAGTCCAAGGGACTCTCAAGAGTCTTCTCCAACATCACAGTTCAAAAGCATCAGCTCTCCGGCGCTCAGCTTTATTTATGGTCCAACTCTCACATCTTTACATGACTACTGGAAAAACCATAGCCTGGACTAGACGGACCTTTGTTGGCAAAGTAATCGCCCTGCTTTTTAATATGCTATCTATCTAGGTTGGTCATAACTTTCCTTCCAAGGAGTAGGCGTCTTTTAATTTCATGGCTGCAGTCAGCATCTGCAGTGATTTTGGAGCCCAGAAAAATACAGTCAGCCACTGTTTCCACTGATTCCCCACCTATTTGCCATGAAGTGATGGGACCAGATGCCATGGTCTTAGTTTTCTGAATGTTGTGCTTTAAGCCAACTTTTTCACTCTCCTCTTTCACTTTCATCAAGAGGCTTTTTAGTTCCTCTTCACTTTCTGCCGTAAGGGTGGGGTCATCTGCACATCTGAGGTTATTGATATTTCTGCCGGCAATCTTGGTTCCAGCTTGTGCTTCCTCCAGCCCAGTGTTTCTCATGATGTACTCTGCATATAAGTTAAATAAGCAGGGTGACAATATACAGCCTTGATGAATTCCTTTTCCTATTTGGTTTCAGGTATACAGCAAAGTGATTCAGTTTTACAGATATCTATTCTTTTACACATTCTTTTCATTATAGAGGTCATTATAGAGTATAATTCTCTGGGCTATGTACTAGTTCTTTGTTGTAGTGTGTCTGTTAACCCCAGGCTCCTAATTTATCCCCCACCTTTCCCCTTTCATAACCACATCTTTGGTTTGGAAGTTTTTGAGTCTGTTTTCATTTTGTAAATTGTGTCAGTTTATTTTTATTCCATATATAAGAGATACCCTATGTATGACCATCTCTAGGTCCATCCATATTGCTACAAATGGCTAAGTAATATTCCACTGTATGTATGTACACATCTTCTTTATCCATTCCTCTCTCAGTGGACATTTCAGTTGCTTCTGTATCCTGGCTGTTATAAACACATGCACCCCAGTATTCATTCCAACACTGTTTTATGAAGTTATGAATTATTTAAGTCCTATATCTCCAGATATATGTCCTGAAGTGGGATTGCTGGATCATATGGTAGGTTTGTTTTTTGTGTGTTGTTTTTTTGTTTTTTTGTTTTTTTTGAGAAATCTCCATACTATTTTCCACAGCTGCTGTACCAGTTTACACTCCCTCACTCCTGTGAGAGAGCCCCAGCAGTACAACTATTTTTCAGTTTGTGGGTTGCCCTCCTGGTGGTTATGAGATGTCATTATATTGTGAAAGTATCCTTCATACCATCTTGTTGTGGCTGCTTTTTTTGGTCTTTGAATGTAGAATATCTTTGTTGGTAGGTTCCAGTCTTTCCTGTCACAGGTTGTTAAGCAGTTATTTGTGATTAGAGGAGGTGAGCTCAAGTCTTTTTACTCTGCTGTGTTGTCTCCCGTCCCCGAAAATAAGTTGCAAAAGGGTGTTAGGTGGTGAATGTTACAAATGCAGTCAGCACTATAAAGACTATAGTCCTAAAAGATAGTTCTAACAATATGATGGGAATTTAAACGTTATTTTTAAATGGAAACTTTGATGTGCAGTAAATCTGGGATTATTTGAGAGGCCACAAAAGAATCCTTGTGTATTTAACAGGTGGGCATAGCAATTAGATTGACACTAGGTGTCTCCTCATCAAGGACAAAATAAATGCTACATAACCAAGATTTGGAGGGGTCACTTTTGCATAATTCTTAAATCATTTCTGTGTGATATACTGAACTTCCAATTAATCATTTTCTTCTCCATTCTAGTAATTCTCAAGAATGTTTTGAACTATGCATTTCATATCTTAATCTTTTTTGGTTGATCTCTTTTTGCTTTAGGCAACTCAAAATAGACTGATCGAAAAGACATAATATTGATATTGGAAAATGCATTACCTAAGGATGTAACTATATAATCTCAGAACTTAAAGCAGAATTGAAAATTCTACACAAATAATGTTACCTGCCCTACAGTACTTAAATTTTGGTTGAACAGCTTTGTGTGCAACACTCAGTACAAAATGTTTTAAGTATTTCATTTATAGGTTGCAATGAAGTACATGTTCTTTCCATTGTTTAATAGTACTATGGCTATTTCAACTGACCTGAATTTAAAAAAGCCTCCTGCTGTCTAAAAACAGTGTGAAGAAGAATCTTAATGGATGACTACCAAGTACCAGATTTGTGTCTACTGGATTATCCAGTGAATTGATTCAAGGGCTGTCATGGAAGAATCATCCTATTTAAGGGATATATCCAGTGTGCACCACCTTATTAACATGAATTCTATGGTTTGAAGGGCCCACCATATTTAATAAAAATACTTCTATCTCTTAGGAAATTTCAAAATTTTAGAGGTAATCTTCCAGGAGCTAGGGACAAAGCTGGACCTCTCTTTGAGCAAGGCCAGATTCTTTACAGTAGTGCATAGAAGGAACTTTATAGCTTTAAATGCTCATGTAAGACAAGGAAATCTAATATCAGTGACATACAGTTCTACCTAAGAATCAAGACAAGAGC